TTTTCTCGTTCTCTTCCTGCATTGCAAACCGCCGTCCGAATGCCTAACGGCGCTGCCCTTTTTAAATTTCTGATTGTTTTCGCTCTCATTTAAATGTACGCGGAAATGCGCTAATAGCCCTAATAGCGTGTTTTCGCCGCGCCTTTAAATTTATTTATAAGATTTTTAGAAAAAGACTGAACTGTACTTAAAAGACTTTTTTAAACCAATTTAGGATTTTGATCTTTTCATAATAAAAATATTCAATTATATCGATAATTCATTAATTAAAAGCTAAAATTAAAAATTTTGTGTACGAGTTGCGTTTTATAGATACAGATACATCTCAATTAATATTTTAATTAATTAAAGATAGTATAATAATGAATCCTGTTTTAGTAGAATTTTTTATTTTTATCTTTTCTGTTTCTATATCATTATTTTTTGATATAACGATGCCAGAACGTAGAAAAATGTATTATTCGTATTTCAGCTCATTTTCGCTTTTAATATAGATATAAATATGATCCAAAGCGTTTTGTCTTTGTCAAAAAAATACATCTATCAAATATGATTTTATTATATTATATTACGTCATGCGCCCGCCGTAACATGAACCTGCACTTTGACGTTAGTATGAAATTTTATCAACTCGATATGTTAGTACGGCAAGATATGACAAACGCGACAGAATATTTTGTTGCAGATATTGTGAAAATTAATAATTTCATATTACTTTCCCTATCAATAAATTCTCAAAAAATTTATATTTTGATAAAACTTCGCACGCATTCGAATACGCGTAGAATGATTCAGCGGATAAACTGTGAAATTTTTCATCGGCGTAAAAAAATGATTTTCTGTACGTCAAATTGATAAAATTATCTTATTCATTAAATATATTAATTATGATCGACATACCGCGAATTTAATTCTTATTATCAAAGAGAAAATACGAACTAAAATCGTTAAGGAGAAGACACAAAATAATGCTACAGCAGAGAGGATTTGTGAGATGGTAAGGGAATTTCCGACAGGCGCCATTAATACACTTTACGTGCGTTTCTCTGATTCCTTGGCCCGAATGGACTCGACCTCGTTACTTTTTAAGAGGCGCCCCATCCTGTCGCGAGCTACAAAAGGGAAGAGATGCGAATCGCAGAGAGACAACGCAAAAGCTTCTAGATCGAGCGTTGCTTCCACGCGTTGCAATAATTATATTGATCGAGGCAGGGATGTGTTTCGAGTATCGGTAGAAATATATTTTGCTGTTTCTTGTGATCACTACGAATGCGCGAAACTTTATCATCGTTAGAAGAACTGCTGAGAGAGTGCAACGTAACACTCATCTCCATTTAGATACAACAAGTCTATTGCGTTAGTTCATCCAATTATTTGCGCTTTCTATACTTATAATTAGATAAAACACATGTGTTTTAACGTGAAAAAAAGAGGAATTGTTTCTTTTCCACAACATTCCCGTATATATTTAAAACTATTTAAGTTATTTAATAGACTGTGAAACGTACATGATACTAAATAATAATTTAATATAATTTAATTATGTGCTCTTTCAACGTTAAAAATTTTTATACCATGTGGAAAAAAAAGAAAATACTGACTGTATGCGTGTGTAATAAAGGCTCAATTCGAAATAATTTAACGAAATTTTGCATTAATATATTATCATTGGATCTAATAAAAATGGATTTGAGATTTTCTAAAAATATCTCTCAAGGCACGATATCTCTGGAATATATCTCTCAAGTCTGTTTTCTGACAGTATATTCTTCTTGTTTCTCTCTTTCAGTATGTCACTACTTCGGGCAGGGCATGTGATAGCAACCATCGCTTCAACGTAACATCAAAATAAGTGACAGTTTGCAGTGGCATAGTGTGTCAGCACTCTTACCGCAGATGTGTGTGTATGTGTATGTGTATGTGTGTGTGTATATATATATATATATACACACACACATAAATTCTGCATCTCTAACCGCGGAAAAGCTTGAAATCGCTTGAAAGCCAAACCGTACATTATAATATGGAATAAGCGAAATAAGAAAAAATATAGAAGCAAAGCTGATACATTCTCCGACTTTAGGATATTGAATTAGCAATGCAGTCTTATTCTGTAGCTTACAGCAAATTCTGATTGGATATGTCAATATTGGTTTATATGAACAAGTCCGTTAGACAGAAATTTTATAGAAACGCTAAAGTTTTAAATGAAAATACCTTGATCAGCATAAAATGCTCAGCATAAATTCTGTCGAATAGAACGATGATTTATGCCATGTTTTCATTGGTAAACCGTTTATATGTTTTTATATTAGTTTGCGTACAATGGCGTTTAAAATGCAGTAATGCATTCAAATTCGTTATTACTACGCATCGTTTCCAGATAAAAATAAATAGCGTTTAGAATTACTAAATCATTTATAAAAAAACATTAAACAATTTGTCCAAAGCAGAAAAGATAAAAAGAAAGAATATACCTATGAGATTTTTTTTGATAACATTTTGGTAACAAATATGTTTCTGTTTGCTTACTCTGTGCTATACGAATGCTAAAAACGAATTTGAATAAAGCGCACAATTATTGGTCAAATATTTGATCCTCGTTAGAATGATTCTTAAATATTTCATTAAAAAATTCGAATACATGTATATTTATAATTGCAATAAGTTCTACATATATTTCTCTCGTACGTTCATTAAACGGATTTATAAATCAAGTCAATGTTTTGTTTTGCAGCAATAAAAGCTACGGTTACAAAACAAATGTAGGATATACGATATAAACGCCGTGTAGAAAAAATATTAAACATAAATGATAAAAATGAAATATCTCCGCAAATGTTACTTACACAAGTCCACCTTCACAGATTTAAAATTACTCGAGATATTGTTATTCATGAAATATTCGATCTAATAAAATATGGCTAACAAAGTTCGTTAAACAGTTTATCATGTGATATCAGAATTACGTTCTGAAACGTTCCACTTTTCCGGAAAAATCTATTAACGAAACATAGTCGTTTTTTATGGGAAATAATTGTGTATATTAATAAGACTCTGCGAAACAGATAAAAATCAGCGATATCAAACATTCAAACAGGATGTGTGTAAAAAGCAAATACAATTCTAACTCAATTTTACATTTTTCTCTTTTCTTAGATTCATAAAATCGTAATACGCTTCTCTAAAGTATTATTTACGATGCCTATAAAAAATGGAAAGATATCGCGATGAAGTCGGCGCAATTAATGAAGTCTGTGACACACAAATCAAAAGCATAAATTTGGACGCTAAGTCCGAAAATGGCTTTTTACGAGAAAAACGAGAGACATAGTTTATTGGTCAGCTCGATATTCACGGATCGGCTTTCATCGGTCGACGCGAATCCGAATAAAAACGCGTGCGCGCGACAATTTTGGCGGCCGTTTAATTTCGATCTCCCCGCCGAAATATCCTCGCGGATTTCCGCGGGGTCGGAATTACTCCTGCGCGCCCGCGAAGGGGATGGGCTCTGTATTACTAGCGACGCTCGTGACGCGTTTTCGAGCAAAAAGAATTAAACGATAGGAGCGGGAAGATACTGGTGGCCGCGCTCGCGCGTAAATCCATTAAAACCCGTCTTTTGTTCCCGAGCTGACGAAAGGATTTATAGGCCGACAGCGGTGTTGGCGGTCGTGCCGTAACAAAGACAAATGGATCCGCGAATGAAGTAGAATGGCCAACTCGCCGCCTCAAATATAAAATTAGTTTGAACTTCACACGCTTCAACGAGGACCGGCCGCGGACGGCGAGACCGCCATTCACGCGGCAAAAAAGGAGAAAAAAATATGATATAAATATTCGCCGACGCGGCCGCATCCGCTTTTGTGCGATCCTCCCGCGTCGCGTGAATCATTTATTATTCTCTTTTGATGTTGTATAATACGCGGAGCAGAGAGCAGAGAAGAGGCGAGGGGAGAAAGAGGGGGGGGGGAGAGGGGGAGAGAGAGAGGGAGAGAGAGAAACCGACAAACTTTGACATACGTTCGTGATATAATTTGACGTTCCATTCCCGCGGAAAGACCCGAGCGACTTTTGTCTCACATGCGTGATTTATGGTATATGATAATTTTATTATACGAGCAAAACGGGAAAATCGCGCGCATGTCGAAACTGGCAAAATCAACTCACCGGGAGGCGGTGCTCGAAAAAGATTCGTGCGCGGCACGAACGCGAAACACAATAACCAACATTAAACGTATCGGTAAACGAGTTTTTTTACGTTCGAAACTTATTTAAGCGGCGCTTTCGCGACGCGAAGCCACCGTTCATGAATTGTAAATTGTTATCACTGCTGATTTAAAAAAGCAGTGATTGCGTTTAAAAATCTTAAAAAATTCAGAGCATCTATAAAATTTAAGATATATAGAGAAAACATGAAAGAAAGACTCATATTGTTTGCTCTTTTTTCCTTTCCGACCATTAAGCACCACCAAAAATATTCAATCACAGAAACATTAATTATTCGTAATGGTAAAATTATTAATTTGATATGGAACATAATTAAAAAAGATGATAACGTATTAAAATGATCCTAAATTATATCAAATCGTCAAAAATATTTTCGTGAATCAAAAGACACACAATGCACATATATTTCAATACCTTGCAATTTCAGTTTTATAATTTTATTTCACGACTCATTATCATCTTTTAATCTAAAGATTTTTTAATATACACGTATATATTATATTCTATAGAAAATGAAATCATTTTAAAAGAGCAACGTCTATTAAAAGCAAGCATTTTTTGCACGTCCAACGCAATTAAACCGCGCATTATTCACGCAACGCGTTTCAATCTTCTTAAATAATGAATTAGCTTTCGGGAGAGCGCCGCCTCGAGGGAGAACGCGTTTCGAAAGTCAGAGATTTCCGGTAGAATAAAAAATCTGCGGCGCTTATGTTTTCGCAGAATTTGTTTCGTGCCGCGCGTCGAAAGAACACAAGTGCAGTACTTACCGCTGATCCATGTGCCATTGAAGCTCTTGGGGGACAACGAACCGGAAAGCCATTCCTCCAGGGATATACCGGGTGCGCCGTTCGTTCTCGACGCGCTGGAGTTCGGGCTGCCGGTCAAGAGGATCGCCGCGGCGATCACCAGGGCAAGCACGATTATGAAGACGATGCCGCAGACCAGCAAACGCCATCGATATCGCTGCTTGTTCTTCGTCATGAGATCCTGCAAAAATAATGCCCATAAAAGCGTTAATAAAATTATAATAAAATAATAATTATATATTATACAATAAATATATTTTTATTATTTTTAATTCGAGAAAATTGTATATTATACGAGCAATGAGAAAATTATAAAACTTAGATTTTATAATATAAACTCAATAACAATAATTATAATGAATTTATGCGATTAATGTACATACATGCTTGCGTGATCATCGAAAAATTGTAAAAGTAAAAATAATATTAAAAATTCAAAATTCAAAATAAAGTTGAAAGTTATTTTGCGATTCATTAAAATTACTGAGGATTTAGGTTCATCGATTGCATGGATTTATTATAATTAATTTACTTTAGTTATCAACTACAGGATTATTTTATTAATATCAATATTTATTTGTCCAACGTTTTAATTAAAATGTTGCATATGTATTGTATTATCGGAGAATAAAGTGCATTTTCTCTGGAAAAATTTTGTAATATCGTCGCGTATTTTGTAATGTTTTCACGCATGTATAATCGATATAATTGATACCTCTCAATATCGAGTTTATCATTCATATCCACTCATATAAGTTCCAATATATGGCTTGTATGTGTATACGTTTATACAAAAATAAAATGTTTTTCCAGAAGGTCAGTATTCCCAACCCATTAAAAATTACGCTTTTTTGCAAACAATCTCCAATCCATATACATATATATATATATATATATGTATACATATAATAAAATATGTTCTTCCCAAATTGCATAAATATAATTTCGATGTTGTTGATGTAAACAAATTGCAGATTACTTACAGTTTGGCTCGTATCTCAAAACTAGAGATTTGAAATTAAATTAATCCCGGCTTTACTTAATAACAAAATTCACGTACGCGATTTCATAATCTCGTAACGAACCAGCCTTAGGCGATACGTGATCGAATGTGTCAGAATTTCGCACATTCGGCCAAAACCAGCTTCTCGCTTTAAAATAATGTTCTCGAACGCACACCCAGCGAGAGATGCCGCGCGATCGCGATATGAGAAATAGTCGGGAAGGGAATGCGAGAAAGAGTGGAGCGGGCAGGCTCTCTGTGTAATCCGGTCTTATCGAAAATTGAATTTCGTATTTCCGGAAAAATAAAAGCCAGTACTGTGCCGCCGTGGCGGGGCATGCTATCCCATATTTATAAATCTTCTTTATCAAAATTAAATTTGATCGGCGCGGACCGCCGGACGTTATCGAGCCAAGGCGCCGGCGTCGCGACCTAACTTCATTTATCACGGACCCGTCGATGACCGAAACGGTCGCGATCCTAACCGAGAGGATTGACCGCAAGGTGATCAAGAGGGAGAGAGAGAGAGAAAGAAGGAGATATATAATATACATATATCAAGTGTAAAACTGTTCGTAAGGGCAATATAAGAAAAGAATTATGACAATTCGATGCCTGAAAATTTTTGCTAAAAAAATATCGTCACTTTAAATTATAATTATTATACAATATGACGAATATTTAAAAATGCATTAAAGATTTACAATGCAGATTAAATGTAACACGCGATAATGCATTTTGGACAGAATTTTAAATGATCGAAAGATCCGCTATTAACGAATATACTATGCATCTTCGAAATGCCATATCTTTCATATGGTCGATATCGGTCCAATGATGGACCAGACGATTTTTCTTTCATCTGATATATTTTTTTTCTCCCGATTTCAACTCACAAGTGCGCACGTCGTGATTTATGAGCGAGCGCCTTGACGGCACCGGATACGCTTTTCCTATATAGAGTGGGAAAACGATTTACGGTTCAGCGTTTAGCTCACTGTCGCGTTAAAGAACGCGGCCTTTCCATTTATTATGCGTCGATGAAATGTGGCTCCGTCGACGAGAACCTGTCGGAAGCAACGTGATGGAACCTCAATGAAAACGAGTCATCCAAAGCGTAAGCTGAATTTTAACGAAGTGTGTATGTGTGCATGTGTGTGTTGAAAATTAATGGAAATTTAAATTTTCCAATTACTAAGCTCAAATATTGGTTAATTTTTAATTACTAAATTAAACATAGACAATCCTCAATTATTAAGTTAAAATATTAAACAATTTTTAAATTAATTAATTCGTCTTTATTAATTGCATTCTGATTAAAATTTAATTCCCATTAAATACCTCGAAAAATGAAGCTCCCAATAAAAATTTCTATTACATTAAATTTTATTTATATTAATAGAT